TCAATTGACAGTTCAACTGACATTGAGAGAACTGATTCGTTTAGCTCAGGAGATTGACCCTTAGTGTGAGCGTATTAAAGGAGAGATAGCAGAGGGTAAGCATGTAGGCTTTGTGGTTAGTGATGATGGGTTGCTTAGATTCCGTAGCCGAGTTTGTGTTCTTGCTGGTGGTGATTTGAGGAAGGAGATTATGACAGAGGCACATGGTTCTAGTTATAACATTCATCCTGGAAGCACTAAGATGTATCAGGATCTTCATGAACATTTTTGGTGGAATGGTATAAAGAGAGATATTGCAGAATTTGTGGCTTAGTGTTTGGTGTGTTAACAGGTTAAAGTAGAACATCAGAAACCCAGGGGGAAACTACAACCCTTACTTATACCAAAGTGGAAGTGGGATCATGTTACCATGGACTTTGTATGCCGATTACCTCGTACTAGTAGTAATCACGATGCAGTTTGGGTAGTTGTTGATAGATTAACCATGTCAGCACATTTTATTACAGTTCGGATAAACTATTCTCTAGTTCAATTTGCACAGTTGTATGTGAAGGAGATTGTTAGATTACATGGTGCACCTGTGTCAATAGTGTCAGATCGGGACCCTCATTTTCTGTCTAAGTTTTGGGGTGCGTTACAGTTAGCTATGGGTGCTCGGTTAAATTTTAGTTCAGCTTATCACCCTTACATAGACTGGAAATCAGAGAGGACTATTCAAATCCTTGAGGATATGTTGAAGGCTTGTGCTTTTGAGTGGAGAGGTAATTGGGATGATAATTTGCTGCTCATGGAGTTTGCATATAATAATAGTTATCATTCTAGTTTGGGAGAAGTTCCTTATGAGGATTTGTATAAGAGGAAGTATAGGTCTCTTTTGTGTTGGTATGAGATTAGTAAGAGGCAAATGTTGGGACCTGATTTGGTAGAGGATGCGACATAGAAAATTATCTCCATCAGAGAGAAATTATTAACTGTTCAGAGCAGACAAAAAAGTTATGCTGATCATCATAGGAGAGATTTAGAGTTTCATGTGGGGGATATGGTATTCTTGAAAGTATCACCATGGAAAGGAGTCATCAAGTTTGGAAAGAAAGGAAAGTTGAGTCCTAGATACATTGGAGCATTTGAGGTATTGGAGAAGGTTGGTGAGGTTGCGTATCGTGTTGTTTTACCCCCTAGGTTGGCAGGAGTGCATAATGTGTTTCACGTGTTTATGCTGAGGAAATGTGTGCATAGTCCATCGCATGTGATAGATTATGAGCCGCTTCAGATTAGAGAGAATTTTTGTATGAGGAGATGCCCGTTCAGATTTTGGATTCGAAAGAGAAAATGTTGCGTACAAAGGCCATTAAATTGGTTAAGGTACTGTGCCATAATTATTTGGTTAAAGAGACGACTTGGGAACGTGAGGACGAGATGCGCAAGAAGAACCCACATCTATTCTTATGATTTACTCAAGTTAGTTTCAAGGACGAAGCTTTTCTCGAAACTTTTCTTTTAGGGGGGGGAGAATGTGAGAACCCAAATATACAAATCAAATAAATAATTAAATAATAATTATTTTACAATCTCAAATATTTTCTTGTGAATCTTTAAGTGCAAACTAAATATTATTGGAGGTCTTTTAATTAATTTTAAAACCTAAAATAAATTTATGGTGAAAGTCTTTAATTTAGAGGCAAGATTTATTATTATTTTTTTCTAAAATAAATAGAGAAGGGGGTGTGACTTGAATTCTAGACCATAATTTGATAAATAATGGTCTTACCATTTGAGTTGCTTACAAATATTTAAACATTTTGTATATTATTTATTTGTTTGACCTCCATGTGCTTTGGGTGTGCCTAACCACTAGTATTAAATAAAATATTCACAAAACCCTACCTTTTTATTTGCTCATCACAAGTTAGCAGCAGTCGTGAGAGAGAGAGAGAGAGAGAGAGAGAGATTTGAGAGAAACTTTTTGCAACATTGGTGGTCAATAATTCTAAGGTATTGTCCTATTTTATTATATCTATACATTGTGATGGTTCATGTGTGTAATCTTCTTGTTGTTGGGAAGGAGTAGGAGAAACGGGTGTATTGTTTGGGTGCCAAGGCAGTGGTTGGTGATGAGAAATAATGGGCGTAATTCATAGTTTAAATTTTTTTTTTGTATCGAACCACAAACTTTAAAAATCGAGGAATCATATCAAACGTATGAATTTTGAATTGAAATTTTTACAGTAGATTAATTACATATTGAATTACATATCAGAAATTTCTCATAATTTTTGGGAGTCAAAATCTATATTAACTGGTGTGTTCAAATCTGTTTAGAAAATTGATGTAAAACAGTACCTTCGAAAGTGTCGTTCTCTTTGGATATAAATTCAAAAATTATCAAATTAGCATCATTAGAACCGGTTATGAGTCTAGTTTCTTATATTTTTAGCCTTGTATTGATTTCTCTTGTATACTAAGAGAACCATTAATTTCTTTAATGTGCTACATAAAGTGACCTGTTTGGATATAATTAATTGTAAATAATTATTTTGATAAGAAAATCAAGTAAAACTAATTGGGTTTGAAACTTAGGATATATTAGTTGATATCTAGAGGGTTTTGGAATTTTTCAAACAGCGTGGAGTGGGTTTTGTAATTTTCAAAGTTACTGAATAGATTGGAAAACCTTGTTTAAAATTCTGTTTTATCTTAAAGTTACTTTTAATTAAGTTTCGATTTGAAACCATGTCATGGGTGATTTTAGACCTTGAAGAACATGAACTTAGGTATTATTTAAGAGTAACGGTGAGTGGGGTTTGAGCTATGTTAGTGTGCTTTAGTGTGGGGTACTTAGTTATTATTCTTTTTAGTATTTTTAAATTAGTAGTGACGTGTAGTTTTCATACTTGGTTCAGGGCACTAGTTGGACTTTCATAGTCTATTCGATGATTATATTATTTCATTTTCAGGTGTGTAGTTGCATGCTACATATTTTTATAAATGTTTCCCTACCCTGAACTATTGGAAAAATTAAATTGTTGTTTCAGGACTAAACTGTTTTGACAAATTATTATATTATCAATGGAATTAAATTATTTCTGAAATATGTATTAACTTGGCATACTGTAAACTATTTGTTATGGTCTCCTGTTTATAATGGTGAACTACCATATTTTGCAAAACTGAATTGTATTGATTATTGAGACCATCTGTATATAAAAGTCTAAGGAAATTATTCCACTGTGTGTGGTGACTCTGGCCACTAGGGAACAAATCTGGGTTAGGCCATGATGACTCTAGTGCTCAACGATCGTCTTTGCGAAAAGGCCCGAGTTGCCACCCTAAGCCCTGGTTCGATATTGAATCCAATGGGCTTATTGCCTTGAGAGCAGTGTAGCATGTTAGCTGTTATTCTTTGTACCTAGAAAATTATTACTAATCATGTTGTAATATGTTTTAAGTGGAAAATGTCATTTATCATGTTCTTGAGAGACATGAATATTTTAACTGTTGAACTATGGAACCTTTTTTTTGAAGCAGATTATCTTTATCAAAACTGTATGCCAATCTAATTTTTGTGATATATATCTTATTTTGGAATTGAACCCTGTTTTCAAAACCGTATTTACTATCCATGTTGCCACTCACTGAGCTAGCAGCTAACTTAGATGTTTATCACTTCCAGGTGTTAAAAGGACGTAGAGTGGACTCATGGCGTAGCGGGGACTCAATTGCATGGACCTCTAGGACATTCATTTATTTTTGTATTAGATTGTTATGTCAAGTTTGTGCATAGTTATTTATATTTTTATTGAGGTTCATTTAGGATTATTTTGATATGTGGGCTGTTTATATCCTATATGTTTGGATGGTATTGATTATTTATGCTTGTGGCATGTCACTAGATTGTAGATCATGTGTGGTAAACTTGGATGGTAGGATTTTTCCAGTGGATTTGATTTCCTTAGAGATGAAGGATTTTGACGTGATATTGGGGATGGATTTGTTGATGAAACGTCATGCCTCTGTTAATTGTTTTAGAAAAAGTGTAGTTTTTGCTATGCCATGACAACATGTGTTTTTCTTTCACGGAAATAGGAAAGGTTCTTCTATCTATTTTATTTCTTTCCTTCAAGCTAATCGAATGTTGACGAAAGGGTGTCATGGTTACTTAGCTTGTGTGTTGAGTACCGAACAGCGAGAGCAGAAGTTAGAGGAGTTTCCTATAGTGAGGTACAACATCGAAGCAAGATAAGCTTTCTATGACTGACAGAGTGTACTACAATTACAACAGCCAAGAAATTTCATCAGCGGCTCTCAAGACAATTCTCAAGCGCATAAAATTGGCTTTGGCTTCCAAAGGCGGCAAATAGGCCGATGTAAATTCAGGTCATCTCTCGAGCATGGTTTTTGTCTCCGAACGACAATAAAGCCTCGAATTGCTTCGCATAGCTCTCCGCTTCAATGAAAACCCATACTTACCCAAAGTCAAAGTCTTCTGTTTGGCTGATGTTTTTGACAAAGACAATTTTAGTGGTATTCCCATGGAAGACAGTGGTTACATTGCCGGTGTTATGAGAATAAAGAGAGAGAGAGAGAGAGAGAGAGAGAGAGAGAGAGAGAGAGAATATAACTCTGTATATATTTCAATGAGTGAATTTATACAATAGAAGGCCTGTATATATAGACAAAGAACGAGTATCCTACAAGAAGTCTAACTATGACAATACAGGTATATCTAGGAAAATAATACCTAATATATCTTGGAATATATACCATATATACATTAATACCCCCCTCAAGCTCAAGGTGGTAATGCAAATATCAACTTGAGCTTGGAAAGTAAGTCAGAAAAGCGTCTTGGAGGATGAGCCTTGGTGAAGATGTCGGCTATCTAATCAGTAGAGGCAATAAAGATAAGACGAATAGTGCCACTAGTAACATGTTGTCGCATAAAGTGACAATCAATCTCAATATGCTTGGTGCGATCATGGAAAACATCATTATGTAACACTTTAATTGTCATAATAGATGTTAGTGGCAGTAGGATCAAAAACTCCCATATCAGAAAGAAGCCAATGAAGCCACACAAGCTCTTGAGTAGTGTCAGCAAGAGCATGATACTCAGCCTCAGTACTAGAATGAGCAACAAAAGTTTCCTTCTTACTATGCTAGGCAATGAGAGAGTCATCTAAGAAGAAACAAAACCCTATAGTAGAACGGTGGTCAGTAGGATCCCCTGTCCAATTTGCATCAGAAAAGACGTGTAGCTGTAGAGAAGAGTGTGCTGAGTAGTGAAGACCATGAAACATAGTGCTTTTGAGATAGTGTAAAATGCGAACTAGAGCATCATAGTGTCGAGAGCGAGGAACAACCATGAATTGACTGACGATGTGAACGACATAGGCAATGTCTGGACGAGTAACTGTGAGATAGACAAGAATGCCAACTAGTTGACGATATAAAGTAGTATCAGATAATAGGTGGCCATCAAGAGGTGTGAGATGAGTCTGAAGATCAACTAGGGTAGGTGCAGTCTTGCAATTAGTAAGAGCAGCACGAGCTAAGAGATCACATGTATACTTGGCCTGGGTGAGAAAGTAACCAGTAGGATCTTGAGAAATTTCTAAGCCGAGGAAGTAGTTAAGTAGACCCAAATCTTTCATCTCAAATTGGCGACTGATGAATTTTTTGAGACTAGAAATACCCACTGTGTCATCACTAGTGATGATCATATCATCCACATAGAGAAGAAGAATAATACCACACTTTGTGTTGTGTATAAACAAAGTCGAATCATGGGCACTGGAGGAGAAATCAAAGTTATGAATGGTAGAACTGAACTTGGCAAACCAAGAACGAGGAGCTTGTTTCAAACCATACAAAGCACGACGAAGTTTGCAAAATTTGGTGGATAGAACTAAGGAACCAGGAGCAGGTTGCATATAAACTTCCTCAGTGAGATCACCATTAAGAAAAGCATTCTTGACATCTATTTGACAAAGACTCTAATGGCGAGCAGCAGCAATGGCAAGGAGGTTATGAATTGAAGTAAGACAAGCAACGGGGGCAAATGTTTCCTCATAATCAATCCCATATTTTTGAGTAAACCCTCGGGCAATGCTCAATGGAACCATCAAAATGAGTTTTGATCTTGTAAACCCATTTGCAGCTAATAGCACTCTTTTCAAGTAGGGGGTCAATTATATCCTAGGTATGAGTTTTATCAAAAGCTTGCAGTTCATCAGTCATGGCTTGTTGCCAAAGAGGGTTAGAGCAAGCCTCTCGATAGGAAGTAGGTTCATGAGAAGAAAAAGTAGTAGAACCAACAATGAAATCACGAAGAAGTTCAGAAGGTTGTGTTACCCGAGTATAATGACAAATAGTTACCTCTAGTGTAGAAAATGATGGAGTAGAATCAATGGATGCATGAGGCTCACGGTGAAAGGGAATGAAGACAGGAGTAGGAGCAGGAACAGGAGCAGGAGCAGGCTCAGAATCAGAGAGTGGAGCAGCATGATCTGGAGGTGGAGCAGAATCCTCAAGATGGGCCGGAGTCATCATGTTAGAAGTAGGGTTTGTATCAAGCTCATCAAACAGAAGAGAAGAATTTGTAAAAAATGGTGTAGTAGGAGGAGTGGACAATTGAAAGTTAGATAGAGAAAAGAACATCTTGTGTTCCCAAAATACCACATGAAGAGAGACGCAGAGACGACGAGAAAGAGGATCCCAACAACGATAACTTTTATGTTCATTCCCATACCCCAAGAAACAACACAAACGGGCGCGAGATTCTAATTGGGTATGCTTATGAGGTTGAAGAATAACAAAACAAGCACATCCAAACACACGAAGACTAGTATAGACAGAAGGTGTGCCATACAGACGCTTATATGGGGTTTGACTGTTAATGGTAAGGGAAGGGACATGGTTGATAGTATAGACAGCTGTGAAAGCAGTTTCTGCCCAAAAACGTTCAGGACAAGAAAAAGATATTAAAAGAGCATGGACAGTGGCTAAGATATGACGATGTTTGCACTCAGTAGGACCATTTTGTTGGGAGGTACCAAGACAAGAATAGTGAGAAAGTGTACCATTTTGACGAAGGAATCTCAAAAAATGAGTTTCTTTATTTTCCTGGGTATTATTAGCATGGAAAATTTTGATGGTGGAAGAAAACTGAGTTTTGACCATTTGTGAAAAATCATAGTATATTTGGTGTAACTCAGAATGAGATTTCATAAGAAATAACCTAGTAAAACAAGTGAAATCATTAACAAAAATGAAAAAGTATTTATATCCCCCTAGAGTGGTATTAGGTGAAGGCCTCCAAATATCAGAGTGTATGAGATCAAAAGGTGCATGAGACATAGAGGTACTGGCATAAAATGGTAAAGCAGGTTGTTTGGTAAGTTGACAAGATAGATAGTCTACTTTATCATTTGGAACATGACCTAATGTAGACACCCCATTTTTGACCGTCCTGAAGACTTGGACGTCATCGTTTGAATACTCGATGGTCATTCATGTTTGTGTTCATTTTGAACGCCTGAAGTTCTTGGCGGAGTGCCTTGCCTTTAAACCATTGAAACTTGTCTGTTTTATGCTTGGTTGTGGACCAAGAGCTTGTTGCTTCAAGCATGGAGGGGAGGGTGGACTGTCGGCCAGCCCTACAACCCATCGGCCATTAGTGGTGGCCAGTCTGCTACACTGATGGCCGGTCGGCCTCATTGATGGCCGATTGGCCACCAATGATGGTCGGCGGCCATTTTTCTTCTTTTTTAGATATTTCTTTGGCAGCTGTGCCAGCTGTTGATCATTGATGCTCATCTCCATACACATGTATGGAGGGATGAATACAAGCTCTAAGCTTGTTTTTCTATATATAGGGGGGTTCTCTCCCCCATTTTAGAGGGTTAGATAATTTTGAGCAAATTTCTCCCTCTCTTTCTAGAATTCTCTCTCTCACCTCTTGTTTATGCTCGGTAGTTAGAATTCTCTACAATTTTGCACTAAGACCCTTAACCAAACATCTTCATCTTGGAGCTGAGATTCTTTGAGGCTTAGTTTGAGCTCCTAAGGGTGGTTTAAGCTCAGAAAAGTGGTTGATTTGTGTTGTGCTTCAAGAGGTAAAGGTCTTGACTTGTAAGCTTTATTTTGAACACTTGCTTTGCCATCTTTTCACACTATTTTGAGATGGTTTTCAACTGTAAAAGCCTCTGTTTTTTAGTCCTATAAATTGTTGTTTAAGCCTATTTTGAGCTGGGGGATTGCCTCCCCTTTTTGCTCTTTGGCTTGTGAAGCCTTGTATGCCATTTCTTACCATCTTCAAATCAAAATTTTTGGCCATTTAAACCATTGAAATCCAGAGTTATTTCAGTGGAGAAAATCAAATTTTGAAGTCCAAAAGTGGAGGGGTTAGCCTCCCCTCCATGTGTCTTGCTCTCATGCCTAGGTTGCTTCACATGTTAGCTTGATTTCTAGCTTAACTTAGTTTAATTCAAGCATGTTTTAAGCTTTATTTTGGCATGTTTCAACTCTGTTTTTGCATGGTTGGAACACTTGTTGCTTGCTTTTTGTACTTGCAGGGCAATTGGGCTTGCTAGTCTAGCATGCTTAATGATTTAGCCTATTATTCTAACTTGTGTTAGCTTGACTCTAGCATGTTTTTGTTATTGTTTTGACATGCTTTAACTCTGTTTTGGGTTGGCTAAGTCCTTTGAGGCTTGTATTGCATGGCTATAGTGTAACGGTCTTCACTAGCTCATTGTTTGAGGCTTTAAGCATGAAGTGTTTGAGTGGCTTGCGTTTTGTAGTGTCTCTTAACATGTGATTTCAGTGTATATAGATCTGTCACATGCTCATTTATTTCACTCTTTCATTGCTTTTGAGAGTAGTGTTTTGAGTCTTGTTTGTAAGCTAACATGTAAGCATGTTTTTCTAGCCTTTTGAGCCTCAATCTCAGTATGATTTAGCCGCTATTTTGGCATGTTTTAACTCTGTCTTGAGTTAGTTTGGCCCTTTGAGGCTTGTATTGTGTAGTTGTGGTGCAATCTCCTTCACTAGCTTAATGTTTAGGCTCTTAGCATGATTTGCATGTGTTGTTTTCATGATTTAGTGTCCTTTTGCATGCCATTTCAACACTGCAATATCTGCAACCTCCCCCTATTCTTCACTCTTTACTTTGTTTTGAAAGTGACTTTGAGCCCCTTGTTGGCTTGAGTGTGGAATTGAGGCCCTCATACCTAATGGTTTAATTCCTTCGGGAGTTCATTACCAACAGCATGAGATCTCTTTCATGCTCAAGGTACTTGTGGCTTAAGCCCTCTTTCCAATTAGAGGACTCTCACTTGAGCAGTAATGTAAAATGTGTAAATAAAACATGACAAGTAAAACTTGAGCAAGTTAAGCATGTTGTGTTGCATTGCAAGTGTTTGGATCGGACGTTAATCCAAACACAAGAAAAATGGGTCATTTCATTCTAAAAGTGATGAAATGTGCCACTTTTCTTGGTCACTGTCACCCTTGATCGTGCATGATAGGGTGGTGGTTATTTTGGTCTTGTTTTTGCATTCATTGACCTTGTACAAGCTTGGATCTTTAGCCATCGTGCATTGAAAATGCTTGGTTGATGGCTTGAGAGCCAAAAGCTACACTCCTTTGAGCTTGAGAGATGATAAGGAGGGTAGCAGTACTTATATTTCTTGAAAATACACTGCTTTGCCTTTGTTTGCTCTCTGTTGTAGCAAAAAAGGAAGTTCAGAGGAAGGGGTGGCCAGCTGGCCACCAGTGGTGGCCGACAGCCACAAAAAGTGGCCTACCGGCCACAAGTAGTGGCTGACAGCCACCTATGGTAGCCGACCGGCCATCAGGTGTTGTGCTTCAAGAGGTAAAAGCCTTGACTTGTAAGCTTTATTTAGAACACTTGCTTTGCCATCTTTTCACACTATTTTGAGATGGTTTTCAACTGTAAAAGCCTCTGTTTTTTAGTCCTATAAATTGTTGTTTAAGCCTATTTTGAGCTGGGGGATTGCCTCCCCTTTTTGCTCTTTGGCTTGTGAAGCCTTGTATGCCATTTCTTACCATCTTCAAATCAAAATTTTTGGCCATTTAAACCATTGAAATCCAGAGTTATTTCAGTGGAGAAAATCAAATTTTGAAGTCCAAAAGTGGAGGGGTTAGCCTCCCCTCCTTGTGTCTTGCTCTCATGCCTAGGTTGCTTCACATGTTAGCTTGATTTCTAGCTTAACTTAGTTTAATTCAAGCATGTTTTAAGCTCTATTTTGGCATGTTTCAACTCTGTTTTTGCTTGGTTGAAACACTTGTTGCTTGATTTTTGTACTTGTAGTGCAATTGGGCTTGCTAGTCTAGCATGCTTAATGATTTAGCCTATTATTCTAGCTTGTGTTAGCTTGACTCTAGCATGTTTTTTTTATTGTTTTGACATGCTTTAACTCTGTTTGGGTTGGCTAAGTCCTTTGAGGCTTGTATTGCATGGCTATAGTGTAACGGTCTTCATTAGCTCATTGTTTGAGGCTTTAAGCATGAAGTGTTTGAGTGGCTTGAGTTTTGTAGTGTCTCTTAGCATGTGATTTCAGTGTATATAGATCTGTCACATGCTCATTTATTTCACTCTTTCATTGCTTTTGAGAGTTGTGTTTTGAGTCTTGTTTGTAAGCTAACATGTAAGCATGTTTTTCTAGCCTTTTGAGCCTCAATCTCAGTATGATTTAGC